CTAGCATTACCGATCCTCGAAAAAAACATTATCCTTTAGACTACACCTGCCTCCCTCAAAAGAAGCGCCTAGGCCAGATGCCGAGCTTTGAACGGCTAGCAGTCGGCGATTGCACGGGTTGGCTAAAGGCCAATTGTACAGGTATCACCCAGCTTTAGAAAATTAAATCCAAGTCATAAATTTAGTAAAAACCCGAGGTGTCAACTCGAGCTGGGGCGCCATCCGCCCAGGCGTCTACCACAAGCACCTCCGCCATTGGCTGAACCACTTCCCGTTGGAGCAGATCCACTTCGTCGACGGGGAGCAGTTAATTCAGGAACCTGCTCATGAAGTGGCAGCCGTTGAGCGCTTCTTGGGCTTGGATTCAGGTGGGAAAAGCTTGTGAGGCTTCAAAAATAAGCTTCCTTAAGTAGTCCATAAAACCGACTTTGCCGTAGACCCGCAAAAGGGTTTCCCATGCGTGCTGAGGAATGACAAGACGCTTCATTGCCTGGGAAGAGCAAGGGCAGAAAGCATCCCGAAGTTGACAGAAAGGTATAGAAATTTATTCAGATTCATTCTTATGTCAAATTATAGGTCATCGAGAAGCTGCACCGTTTCTACGAACCCGAGAACAAAGTCTTTTCCCGATTAATTAACAAACGGTTCACGTGGTGATGTAATGTTGCTTAATAGAACCTTTCTCTAGTCAAGAATAAGCATAAGCCTAAGCTTTAGGCCTAAGCCTGCGCCTAAGCCTAAGTCCAAGCTAAGCCCAAGCCCTACGCCGAAGCCTAAGCCTAAGTCTAGAAAAGCCTATGCCTAAGCCTAAGCTTAGCCCTAAATCCTCGCACAATATTAGTACACATATTATTGTCGATATCCCCTTCCCCCCGGTTGCTCCATAAAGTTGGATTTGCAAGACTTGTCCATTGTATAGTTTTCTAGTCGTCCTATTCCTTTTTTGTAATTTTCCTATACCTACAAATTCTCCTTACGCGTCCCTGAAGGTGCCTCTCAACTTTGCTATGGTTTTAATCATCTTTTTGTGAGTTTCGCCAATTATTTTACCTCTCGAGATCTCTCTTTGTGTGCAAATTTGATAAAATGCTATATATGGTTGATACCGAAATTTATCCCAAATCACACGACAGTCTCGTCGGACTAATTGAAATCAGGTTAATTTAGGAAGAAGCTCTTCGATTTTGGCAGCTTTCCAAGAGCAGATGGCTCACTGGGTATCTGGTGACGCATTTATTGGAGGCTTCTGGCTTTCTTTGGCGTTGCGTAGATATGATCTTCGACAGTTTGGGCCTCAGGCCGAGCTGGAGTTGTTGCTAAAAGCGTTTAAGGTTAAAAATATCAATGGAGAAAGGTTAGACGGCTGGTTTGGCTTTGGTTTACTTTACCCCCCAGCCGGAAGTTTTGGCTTATAACTTTTTATTTTACATTATTGTAGGCTCAAGTGAAACTCTTAGTATATTTTCGACGCTCTATCGAATGGCATTGCAGAACCCAAAATAAGCGAAAATACCGACAACTTTGAGACCCTTCGGCTGTGGGGGGTAAAGTAAACTCTTACCCTGGTTTTCATCAAAAAAGCCGCCAACAGCATTTCAAAAAAAAAACAGAACAATAGAACATGATTTTGCAAACGGACATTTTGGACCGATATGTTATCGGCGCATTGGTGGAAAAACTAGGATTAGTTTTCACGGGGTATTTGAATACAAACCGATAACACCCACCGGCAAGAATTATGATTTTCGCATCTCCATTATTGTTGACCTCCTTGTCAACGCTTTTCTCGTTTTCCTTCTCCTCTACTGCTGTAAAGCTCAGCAGTTCTTAAAAAGTAATGATAGAGAAGTTACTCAAAATGCTCTCATGCTCACCCCAAAATATGCCCAATTGGCTCAGTCGCGCGTTCATCAGCAAGGCCCTCAAATTCACCAGCGATTCCTTGATCGGTAGAGCATTTGTTTGGGGCAAATGCCAAAGCGGAACTACAGATTCGTTATTCACCATGAAATAGTCCGAGATTTTCGAGCTAAGAATCGATCCTCATGACATTTTCCTTACTTGAGATACCTGGGTATTGAAGTAGCCCACATCCAGCGCTTTCATGGCAGGACAGGTTTGCGATTTTTAGAAAATGTGATAACTGGTGTAACCACAAAATCAAGTATCGGTAACGCAGAAAGCTTTTGCCAGAAAGCATACCTTAATATGTACTGCATCCCCGTCTTCCAGCAGCTCTTTCAAATCGCGCCATTCTTTGAAACTTGCCTGGTTGTTGCGCGGAAGTTACTAGCCAGCCCAACGGTACTTTTGGTCTATCGACCGCTCTTGAATCGCATTACTCATTAGCTTTTAATGCGGTATTCCGGTTTCCCAATTATCATTATTTTTCTGGAGCTTGCCTCAATATCCTTACACGGATGATCATAGCTAGTCGTATACCAGCGCTTTATTTTCTGGCATGCCGTCTCTTTTTGGCCTAGTTTTTCGGTTTTCACAAAAAGTACATATCGATACCTTTAATGCGCTCCCCAAGTGGTGGTGTATCAATAATAGCAAGTGATGAAGGTACTCTAGTGCCGTGAAATAAGTAAGTATGTACAGAGGTTGTAGGTTCCATTATCAGAGCTGATAAATATTCCGCTAAAACCCACGAGTAATAAGATACCTCTAAAAAATTACCTTTTGACTGCTTTTCCTTGCCCGCAACATACAAACGATATTGGGAATGAGCTCCAATTTTGTATAAATAGTTAGCAACGCTATTTACTAGCGAAGAACGGCCGCTGCCTTTTGTCCCAAGAAGAATGATAGTTTTTCGATGTTCTTTCCGGCCTTTCTAAGGTAAAAAAAATTATCTTTGAGTCTGTATTAGAAAGTGGTACCTTAACAGCGCCAAAAACCGTCTCCTCATTCTGCATCTTTCGTCCAAGAAGTAAAACTATCGGCGGGCCGACCTCGGGCTTTAGTTTTGCGGCCTCCATTCAATGGCCTGAATTGGGGGAATTATATGATGCATTGGCAAATAAACAGCAGTATTTGCATTGCTAGACGAAAACAGCTATTTTTGCTGGAGGGTGGGGCTTTACGATAAATTTGATAAAATACGATTGATGACTCGGTGCAGCCCGAGTTCACCAAAAACAGCCGCACCCAGCCGTTTTTGGCATGAAATCGATGTGAGGGGCTGATAGGGCGGATATTCCGGGGCGATAACTGGGGGTTAGGAGGCACGAAAAAAAAGAGGAAACATTTTTGGCTAATCGAAACGTGGGTTTAGAAAGTTTTATGCATAGGAAAAAGCGGAACAATCGAAATGGGTTCTGGTTTTTTAGCAGGGGGAGCCTAATGTAGTAAATGTTTCAATATTTCATTGTTTTTTGGGGACTACATCATCGCGATTCGCAAGAGCATCAAAAATTATACTAAGAATTTTAATTCTAGCTCGAAAATATATTGAACATAAATTTTTGATATTTTTCGACACTCTGTTAACGTTAGTGAATATAGAATCAAAACATATACAATCGATAAACGCCCCCCTTCCCCCGCTAACGAACCAGAATCAAGTCTTGTGAAGCGCAAAAAATGCAAAATGATCGAGATTTTGGCAGAAAATTGTGCTACTTTTATGCCCAAAAGCGAGCGTAGGAAAAACGGAACATTTTGAAAAGAAATTTGTTTCCAAACTTGGAAGACGGCCCTTGGACGACGAGGAAGAAGTTATTAGGGATTGTTTGTGCTGGACGAGCCCGTAGGGGGCCCACCCGATGGGAGGGGGCTAAATGACTAGCAAATATGCAGCGGACGACCCTATTGTTCTGGGTGGATCCACAGGACCACCACCGGGACTCGCCAAAGTTGGGAGTGGCGGTGAGAAATCCGGGTAGCTTCAGCTTTACAGATTTATAAATGTTCCGCTCGTGCTTTTGCACACTCTCGAGATCTTCCGACAGAACTATAGCAAAGTTTCACAACTCTTTCAAAGAGTATAAGCCACAAAACCACTTTTTCTAACAATAACCTAACAAATTGATACAGTGAGCTAACGTGTCAAAGGCTACGTTTCCTAAAGCCACTAATACATCCCTAAAACGCGTCTAAAGCGGAAATGTGCGAGGGCGGGCTGGACATGGTCCGGAAGACGGCACCTCGAGAGCTCGCACAAACAGCCCTCGCGGATTCCGACGGCTCACGGGCTCGTCAAGCTGACCGGTGAATGGATGAGGGATGGTGGGAAAGAGGGGGTGTTCGTTTTGAGGGAAAGGCGCTTTAGAAGCCTGATGTCGTGGTGAGAAGCTACACATCATACTCCTTACATGTGTTAACGTTAGTTGAGCTTTTACGGTATGTCTTCAGAGAGAAAGATAGCATCTTTATCCTGATTATTTTTTCATAGCACAATGTGAGACCCGTAATGGTAAAATATACAACATATTAAAACCCTTCATATTTTTTTCTGATCACATTGTCTGTAGAGGTAGATCCTTCGGCGACACTCGATCAACGAGCTTCATAAAATCATCCGCCCACCGGAAATGGGTGGTAGCGGTTATCCAACCGATCGGCAAGGATTTGAGGTCCATTTCCTAACATAAAAATATTGTCTAGACAAGAAACGTAAGTACTACCTCCATGATCAAAGGGCGAAACCGTCGATTCCTTGAGCCGTTGTTGGTATATTCGTTGTTCGTCAGTTCGTGTAGTGCCTGGACAGCCTAAATTCAACATTATGTCTGATGACTAACCCCACCCTCCCATAATCATCTCTTGCAACATCCATGCCACTCAATAAACGACAATACGTTTGATTTAAGCAAACGATGATATGTCTGGCCTGAAAAAGAGCATAGCTATCTGCCAGAAGAGCTTACGCGTTGAAAAACAGTACTGATCGAAGAGGAGAAGTTTTCTGAGGTATCAACGTCGGCCAGGTCGACGATTTCTACCCCAGACAGTTTATTTAAGCGGTCCCTCAGGTTTAGAATAAATTTTTTGTATTCCCGACGTTCCATTGTTTTCTTTTCCTCGTAATGTGTGACGAGGATTACTAAAAATATCGTTAATCAAGTGCAAACTCGTAAGCTATGGGTTCCGCTTCTTAAAAAAAAACACACACCACATGAATCCGGATAAAAGCTCATCGTACTACATGCTGAATCTGTTGGCGCTCCGCTGTAGGTAGGTTCTAAAGGGAAGTACGCCAAAAATCAGACAAATACTCACGAAAGTTCTGGTACGGCCGCTGAACGTGTCGAATGGCAAGTTTGGCATATTTTCTCATAGAAACCAGTGTATCTATCCTCCCTGCAGCAGCGACAGCCTCCAAGAACACATTCACTTTAAAGTTTCTGTAGCGTGTGATCAGCTCCAAAGTCGGATCTTTGAGCGCGCGAAGGCCCTAAGATGAAACTTAAAGTCAAGCGATTTCCGGTCTAGCCTTACCATTATAAAATCCAAATTCCCTCCCAACTTTGCGGCAACAGTTTCCCAATTACGTAAACTAGTCCCATATGAGGGTAGATTAAGATGGGAGCAAAGATCTTCCCTGAAAAATTTGTTATTTTGGGTAGGAGCAGTGAAAACCCACTTCATATTCTTCGGCAAATCATCCATCACCACATCTTCACCAATTTTACATAGAGCAAGGGCTTCGTCTCTACTTTTTGGAGGGCCTATCTTGGGTAGTGTCTTGCCAACTGATATCTAAAGTTTCAATTTGAAATTTCGGTACCAAAAACACGACAAACCGCCTCAAAACTTTCAACAATTGTGGTAGTTGGCTCATCAATTTCAATGGTTAAGTCGGTAGTAATACACATGTCATAATCCGCTTCATTAGACATTTTAAAAAAGGAAATATTTTAGAGGCAGTGGTAGATTAGATGGCCTAATGAGAGTGGAGCAGGGAGAGGGCCAAAGGGGCGCAGGGTTACCATGTTCAGAGTATCGCCACGGGACCCAGGCTGACCCGTACTAACTTTTTAAGTTAGTTTAATGTAAAACTTTGTTTTACTGATGTGTATACATCAAAAATATATCACAAAAGCTTTATTCAACATCAAAAACGGACGAGATCTGATTGGTGTTCCTAGAGTTGTTAGGAATTGTGATCAAATCTTGTTCAGGCAACCCGTAAGTATCAGATGGCACAGGGAGGAAGAACCGGAAAGGAAAGGGAATATAGTTCGGGATAATTAGGGCAAATTTTAAGCGTTTTGCTTTCAATTGCTAATAAAAAAACCCGAATTCTCCCGAACTTCCAAAGTAAAAGCAAAAACTCGAAAAATAGAAATTATGAGCCTTCAGTGGTGTCGATCTTGTAAAAGTCGTACCCAAAGCCGTGCATATACCAGAAGTACCAGCCAATAAGATTAATACCAAAACTCATGATCAGGAAGAGGAAACCAAAGACAAGTAGGAGAACCCGCTCGACAACGGCCGCCAAGTAGTCGTATTCCAATTGACCGATGTTTCGGGTTTCGATGGAGCGAGAGCTGACTACTAAAACATAAATTATATTGTTTCATAGATCGAGAATAATAGTAAAGTAAGTAAGGCTTCTTGGAACTTACGTCCTTCCAAAGGTAGTGGTGGTATCATCATTGTCTCGTTCTCATCTTCTCTAGGAACTTTGAGAGTTGGCGCAGGTCGTCTCAACGGATCGAGAATTCTTCTTCTCGGACTATCCATGGCGTAATTATTGTAGTCCGGACAACTGACGGTGCTCAAATCCATTACTAAAACGTTCTGATACTTTGCCACGTTCTCGGCTTTTCGTAGAAATTTAGCGGTGCTTAGGCACAAAGCCAACCGAAGCCCAGCTTCAACAAATGACTTACAACTCTTCGAATCCTTATTATCCTGCAATAAGCTCTCCGCTATCGAACCGGAAGGACTATTCCGATTGTTCACCGCGAGTTTTGAAGAGGAAGAGGCTCTAGATTATTTTTTTTTTTCGGTCATGTGTTACAATGAGACCCACCTAGTCATGATCTTCTGCCAAACGCTCTGCTTCCGAGGACCATATCCGTTTTTCTGACGATCCTCCTAAAGGGTCTAATGTTTTTTACGGAATGCACAACTCACAGCCGCCTTTCTAGCATAAGCCTCTTTCATAACGAGAGGCATCTCGACCCAGAGGAGCTTGCCAATCCTCCTTGACCACTTGGCCCACCATTTTGAAGGGGAGTTGCCGCTCAGGCCCTAGCAAAGAGAAAATCTTTGTTTCAGGTCCGGTCATGCCTTTTTCTGTACGTAGATGACCATCGAAGAGCCGAGGGTAGCTGTAGAGATTAACCCGATCATGAAGGTATAGAACCAGCCTGAAAATGTTGCTTGTTTTACGATTTTTTTTCAGTGTGTAGCGTTTCTCTATATCCATTGGTATCGAGCGGTACCTTTTTTAAAGCCTACCTATCAATGGGATAAACGAAGAGGTCGATGGCATTTTATCTGATACCATTAAAATTAGAATAGACATCGACAAAAGAGTGGTGATCCCCAGAGTAATCTTTTCTTCCCGAATATCGTTAATCGAAGACGAGGTGAAGAATCCAACGATCGAGATCAGGGTGATCACACCAGTAGGTATAATCAGATTCACCACGTAGTAGAGCGGTTTTCTTCGAATATGGATCATATAGTGGAGTAAGGTGTAGTTATTTGGGCAGCAAGAATATTTGACTTCCTCGCGATAGCCTATAAAAAGCGATTTACGTTAATCTTGTAATTCAGACTTACCAAAAGTTCCTAACACTTCCCATTCCTCATTCTTCAGGAAATTTGCTGTTCCGACAAATGGTTTCCTGGGGAAGTAGTCAATGTAGGTGTTGTCAAAGGTCCAGCTCCCGAGAATCATTCTACACTCCTGGACGTCGAAAGGGAAGGCTCTGAAATGGTTTATGGAATAGTTTAGGTATTCTTATGCCTATCTCTCTCTCTCTCTCTCTCCCTCTCCTTCACTTACTTGACGTTCAAGTTACAGCTGAACTTGTACATCGTCGGGTACAAAAATTTGACATTTGCTCCACTGCCATTCGTGGTCGTCAGCTGGACATTCATAAGCCGTTTCGTCTCCGCGTGGTTCATGGTTAGTCTAAACATCTGGTACGTACCTCGAGTACGTAACTTACGAATTATACAATGTTGTATCAGGTAACCAGAGCTTATGGTGAGGTATCATAATTTCAGATACATTCTCGAAGCGACCCGGGTCCCAATCGAGCATGTGGTCTGTCCATCGCTAAAGTTTGAGGGTAACCTTTAAAAAGTAATAATCTGATACCTCGATCACCCAGGAATTGAGCAGCATGTATTGTTGAGGCTCGTTCTAAAAACATACTCAAAGCTATATAAAAATTAACGTACCACTTCAACAATTTGATACAATTGCATGCTCATCTGGACGTTGACCGCCGTTGGGTGTATACGTTTTCTGGGGATCAAGTCAGGTTGTAGTTCCGCAAAATATACTCCGAGATGTCATACTCGACCGGTTTTTGGTCCTAAGAGAAAATATGGGTATCGAACGTACTACCGCGAGGTAATATTCAAATTAAACGTATTCCATAATTACCCGCAAAAACTGTCACAATCCAGAGGCCAAGCAGACAGACGGCAAACACCGGATCCATTAAGGAGTTGGTCACCGTCCCGGGTACATCTGGCGTGGATTTCACCTGTTGGATGGAGCGAGTAATTTCTCTTTCTACTGCACGTGGGAAAGAAAACAATAAAAAGAGAGCCAGAGAGAGCCAGAGACAGAGAGAGAGAGAGAGAGAGAGAGAGAGAGAGAAGAGAGAAAGAAAGACAGAGAGAGAGAACCAAAAATGATAATAGCTGCCAGCAGCCAGGAAATGCCGCCGGATGCACCATGCACCCGAAAAGAAAAGTTCCGGGATGCAAGTGGCCGGGGCCTATAAAATCGAATCGTCACATCGGGTTCCGGGGCTGACTTTACAGCAGTTCGGCTCTGCTTTTGTGAGTTTTTGAAAGTAGAAAAAGCATACTAAATTTAGGCAAATCTGGTGCGCTTATTTTAAAAAATACGTAAACTTGTTCGTTTTATTTTAAGCGAGAGGGAGAGGGAGGGAGAGTGAGACAACCGAAGATCGATATTTTTAGATCTTCCAAATCCTCATCCCACCCCAAAATGAGCATAATCTCCCAAATCACACGCAAAGTGCGTCGACGAAGCAAAAATCGCGCGACCCCCCGGAAACGTTCATTCCGAGCATTTCCCCGGGCCGCTCAGCAGGGTAGCCGCCGGGATTTCGAGTCACTTTTTAGGATGTTAACTGAAGCGGGTGGAGGTAACTGCGGGGTGCAACGCCGCCAGGGGGGTGAAGCCGGGGAAAACCTCGGCTTCATCGATGCGGAAAGCCAAGGAGGAGGAATTGGGTATTTGCAAAGTACGGTTTGTTTCAAAAAAAATATTGAACGGATTACAGCACCAGATTACACTGGATTTTAGCTACGGAGCGGAAGTAGAATCTGCTATCAGTTAGAAAAGATTTAATTGGGTCGTACTACGAATCTCAGATACAGAAACGAGCAATTTTTCCGATTTATCATGATTGAAACCAAGTTTAGGGTATCGATTCGGCCGGAAGGTTAGACAATCAAATTAACAATTTGAATTAAAGCAAATTTAAACCTTTCCGGCGCAACGCATGGCTATGAATTTTTTGCAGATATATATGAGGTGGTTTCCGAGACACTTTCTTTTCATAGCGTAATCGATTACGGCAGCTGTCGCGTTGCGTGTCGCGGCCAACTCGAAATCTTGAAACATCCTAAGCACATCCATAGCCAAACTAGGTAGTAATAACTTCAGGACCGATTAGAGAATTTGTATCTGATTTTAAAAGAATTAGAGGCCGAATAACTGACAAAATATATGCAACAGGACCCCATTAAACGTTGTACTCAATTAATAATTGCATATTCAGCAAGTTCTAGGCCTTAATGCAGTACTGAAAGAAATTTGAAGGCTTGTTAATATACACAAGAATTAACCTTAAAAGTAGTTAGCTCATTATTTTTATGAGTACTGGTCTTTCACCTAGTCGACAAAAACGCCGCTGGAGGTGTGGCGGGCTCAATAGACCGAAAAACCTATGGCCAAGCCCCGGGCCGAGGCCGACGACGACGACAAAATGCGAAAAGAGTCTCGGCGGAGCCCGTTGAGTGGTGGTGGTCCCCCACCAGCTGACGCCCGTGTTCATTCGACGCTCAAAATTTGGGGGGTAAGCGCTTTTCTCTGCGAAAGTGCCGATCCTTTAGACACTAACCCCCCCTTGGCGTTGTCTTTTGGACCCTGAAGAGAATGTCTGGGTTTGGGCCATTAATCAAGTCACGGCTGGGGTGGGTTGATCGGTCAAAAATCGTGGAAAATTGCTGAAGATTAGTTTTGGGCTTAGAGTTAGGCTTAGGAGCGGTCCCCGTTTTGGCGATAGGCTTAGGCTTCGGCGCAGCGCAAAGGCATTCGTTTAAAATTTGGACTGCAACAAAATGGAACTTTTACTGGCTCTAGAAGGTTGAGATAATCGAGTATCAAGGCTATTCTTCAAAAACATAACTTCCATTGGCTGAATCAAAGACAAGAAAAAGGGCTATTATTTAGGGCTCCAGACCTGCAACCGGAAAAACAATTATCGTCTAGGCAAGCAAGCAAAAAAGTAGCAAGTTGGTGTGCTGTCACCCTGCCTTCAAAACCCACCACAAAATGAGCGGAAACCGACTTTAACATGCTCTACCAGGGTTGATTGCCACGCTAAAAATCATTTAGCCACCTCCACCTTACTACGATCAAGCTTTTACCTCCAGTTTGAGCCATACCAGT